GGGGGGGCACGGTGGCGGGCGGGGACCGGTGGCGGGGGAACCCCAGGGGGGGTGCGTTGGGGGGCGGCGGGGCTCGCCCCGAGCTGGGCGACGGCCCCGGGGCGAGGGGCGGCGGCGGCGGAAGAACAGGGTCAGCTTTGCGCAGTGGCAGTATCGTAGCCAATGAGGTTAATCCGAGGCGCGATTATTGCTAATTGAAAACTTTTCCCAATACCCCGCCATGACGACTTGAAATATAGTCGGCATTGGCAATTTTTGACAGTCTCTACGGAGACTGAATATTACTGTGAAAAATAGAAAGAAACAAATGTATGGGTTTTATTGCTCTGATTTTTAAAATCTGGTAGTTGGGGTTGTGGCACAGATTGTACCTTCAGGCTTTTGCTTTTTCTCGTCATTGCCGGTGCCTGCTCCTGCCAAATATAGGGTTTAAAAACTAAATCGAGGGCACGTTTACATGAAAAGCTCGGTTCTTGCCTTTTTCTTTCACGGCTGCTGAGGGAGGAATCGGGCCATGAAAATGGAATGGGAGGGACTGCCCCGGTCCTGTAGCCTTGTTGAGGAGGAGCCCCTTGAGGAGGATCTGGATAGCTTAGGTGGCGAGGAGAGGGCTGGCAAGTTCCTGGAGCAAGTTGAGGGGGAGCAACAGTCTGAATCGTGCTTGGCTGGCTCCAGAAATGCTCCAAAACCGATCAGGGAACAGCTTTTAGTGCACAGTACCATAACCTGTATTTTTTTGTGGGTTTGTTAATGTATATCCGTTGGCATCACTTGTTTAAACCAAACCCAAAAAACCCCCAAACAACAAAACCCCCACATCTCCTTATTTGTCAAAGGAATCATAAGGCTGGAAAAAAACAGCTGCTGAATTTGGTGTAAAATCCTATTTTATGTTAGGGAAACTCCATCCATTTCTAAGTTGCAGCTGTTGTGTTATTTAACACAGGAGTAGACTGTGTGGAGGGAGACTAATGCCCACGCACACCAGCTCCCTGGGATGAGTCTCGTCGGAGCTGGAAGCAGCTGCCCTCTGTCACTTTGTGTGAGTTAGATGTAGCTCATGCTGCTGACAGGTTACCTCTGAAGTTCTCTGGGGTCGTGTGTGTCATCTGGATGCTCCTACCCTGCCGGTAAGACTCTCAGCTAGGCAGCTGTTTTAAACTGTAACAGGCAGGGTAGAAAACATAGTAGTGAACATTAATGTTCCCTCTTGATCAGGTTTATTTGTCAGATTCATCTATACTGGGGTATTATACACAACAGTGACCAAAGAGTGACACTGAAACCTCCTAAATTTCATTTTTTCCCTATTTGCACTTCATTGCTAACAATATCAATTTGAAATCAAAACCTGAAGCGTAGAGATGCCATTACCCTTTGGCAGAATAAGTCACGCTGATAAATACCAAAGGCATATGTAGTTTAAAGTGTGTAATATGCCTCATGTAATGGCTTGATTTATATAAACTGTGTCGATAAGTATTGGTTTTATCACTTGATTGTTTCTTATCTCTTCTGCCAAAACTGACTGTGATAATACACTGGCGTGGTGCTTCTGTTCTGCATTACAAAGTCATGTCCTCCATCTGATGCTAGAAACCAAGTTTGTTTGATTTGCTGTAATATATCCTTTCAACAAATGTGAAGTTGGGCCTTGACTGGGGAAGTTGCATGTTGAGATTTACTGCCATTGCCTTAAGCCTAAAACTCTGCCTGGATTTTTCTTTTATGCATTACCTGAAGAAGGAGCTACATCCCCTTGCATGATGTCCGTGTGGCACAGCACAGAGGACAGAGGCCGCAATGAAGTCATTGTCATCGCTCATCAATTTCAAGTCACTTTCCAGAAAGTGCACAGGTAAGCTCTAAACGTGCCTTATGTGTTACTGTAGCTGCCTATCCGTTCTTCTCTGACATAGGTTTAGTCTGCTGTAAATGAAGGTGTTTTTCATAGGAGCTATTACGAAATGAGCTTGGATAGCTCCGCTGTTTGGCTGTTTGGCAGCCAATCTGAGATTACAGCCCTGAAGGGGACAGGTGGACAGTTAATCCACCCAGTCTGAGTGTCGGGTGTGCAGAGGTCAGTGGGTTAAGCAACTTTTCTGAGGAGCTGGTCTATAACTCGTAAATGATGCTTTCATGAGAGGGAAAGATGCCTTGAGTAAGTACTCTGAACCCTTGGGTTGTGCGGAGCCAGGAGGTCCTGAAGTCCAGCAATAGATTAATGTTGACTCATTGTCTGACTTCATTTCCAGCTCCCAGCTCTGTTTCCCATCTGTAAATGAGCACAGTAACTTCTTGTCACACCCGTGAGAGATAAGTTGAGTAATAATGTGTCTTAATCACAGGGCACAACATGAGAGGAAGCCCCTTGTATTTCTTAGATGCCTCACCTTTATTCCCTAGTGCTTCCCATCTGGCACCAGTAATGAGGGATGTGCTGCTCTCAGCGTCACTTCCCCCTCAGTCCTTCCAGTAGCCTCTGGGGATGCTGCTCTGGTGGGAAAGAGTTTTCTGGAGGTGGCCATCACTGGGGAACTGCAGCTGCTTCTGCTGGCAGCAGCGTGAGAATGGTGCTTGAGTAGCAAGTGTTCATGAGTCAGTGAGAGTTTCAGAGGCAGAGAGCAGGTAGATGATGAGAAAACAGGATTTCCAGGGTGTTAGGGAATTCAGGAGAGGGTGAACCTTGCTTGGATGAGTTTAGCTTGAGCCTACACCACTGAGCAGTTGTCTTAAGAGCTTGGGTGTTAACCTGCCCCGACTCCTTGGGCTATTGTGGGAGGGGTAAGGACAGACAGTTTTAAGAAATGTTAGTGTGTGAAGAATTCAGTTATGAACAGCACCTGGCTGTGAGGAGTGGAATGAGAATAAGG